TATGGCGTTATTTCCTATGGCTTTATTGCACGTCATCGGGTTCACCATCTGAAGACAAAAAAAGGAAAAATTCTAGCTAATTTCATTAACCAATCCAACTTCATTATACTAAATGATGGCACACCAACTCACTTTAGTACGCGTAATACTTTTACACATCCTGATTTGTCGTTCTGTTCACCCATAATAGCTCTTCAGGCCGAGTGGAAAATAGAAGGCAGTTTCCACCGCAGTGATTATTTTCTGGTTATAATAAACCTATTCACTTCACATGGCGTCCAATCAAAAATATTCAAAACCAATTTTTAACATAAAAAAGCTAACTGGGAAAAATTCACATACAAAACATTAAGTTTAAATTAAAAATTTCCGCAAACAAACAATATGGCAAAGAATCAGCAAATTTAAACAGAATTATAACTATTACAAAGTGCACATTCTTCTTAAACCAAACAGTGTGCACTGCCTAAGTAGTAATACATCAGGTTCTAATATAAACGAACCCAATCTAATAGCCGAAGAATTCTGCCATGACTAGTCAAAAAAAATCCTCTGATGAGAATTTTTCAACTACTTTTTAAACTTGCAAGCAAGTAGTTTTGAGTAGAACACTTAGCATCCACACAAATTCGAAATCATTTCCTATTAACTCGTAAATCACTCTTATAGAACTTAAAGGTGCTCTAAGCAAGCTAAAAGGGAATACTCCAGGTTATTACCGTATTAGTTACCCGATGTTGAAAAATCTTTCCAGCTCTACTCAGAAAAGACTTCTAAATTTGTATAACAATATTTTCGATAACTATATCCCTCAAATGTACAAAACAAGTATGATGATCCCATTTTTTAAACCGAAGTCCGACAAGTCATTATCAAAATCTTATCGCCCCATCTCCCTGAACCCATGATGTGCAAAACTATCGGAAAAAATCATCGCTAATAGAGTATGGTGGTTTATTTTAGAAAATAAACTCCTTAGTAGTTATCAATTCGGTTTTAGAAAACGAAAATCAGTAACAGTAGCTCTTCTTTACGTATACCATCTGATTACCGATTCCTTATCACAAAAAAGTCACACTTCAATGGTTGCTTTGGATTTTGTTAAGCATTCGATAGGGTGGGAGTCCACAGTGTTATTGACCAAATGAAGAATTGGAAAATAGGTCCAAAAATCATTAATTTTATAAAAAATTGCATGACTAGACGTAAAATAAAAGTAAAAAAAAAATCATCACTAATAGAGTATGGTGGTTTATTTTAGAAAATAAACTCCTTAGTACTCATCAATTCTGGTTTAGAAAAGGAAAATCAGTAACAGTAGCTCTTCTTTACGAATACCACCTGATTACCGATTACTTATCACACAAAAGTCACACTTCAATGGTTGCTTTCGATTTTGTTAAGCATTCGATAGGGTGGGTGTCCAAAGTGTTATTGACCAAATGAAGAATTGGAAAATGAGTCCAAAAATCATTAATTTTATAAAAAATTCCATGACTAGACGTAAAATAAAAGTATACGTAAGCAACAACTTTTCAAGTACACAGCCACTGCACATCGGGATACCACAAGGATTCCCCCTCTCAGTTGTTTTATTTCTTATCGCATATAACAGTCTATGTAAAATAATTCGACGATACAAAGAAAAAAGTTTCACCGCATACGCAGACGATTTTCAACTTCTTATAAAACACAAGAAAGAAAAAAA